GTGGTAGACAAAGTAGAGAGTAGATGTTTTGTGGTAGACAGAATAGAGAGTGTATAATTTGTGGTAGACAGAGTAAAAAATAAATATTTTGTGGTAGACAGAACTTACGGAAAATCAGACAGAGTAGAGAGTAGATGTTTTGTGGTAGACAAAGTAGAGAGTAGATGTTTTGTGGTAGACAGAGTAGAGAGTAAATGTTTTGTGGCAGACAGAGTAGAGAGTAAATGTTTTGTGGCAGACAGAGTAGGGAGTAGATGTTTTGTGGCAGACAGAGTAAGTAAATGTTCTGTGGCAGACAGAGTAGGGAGTAGATGTTTTGTGGCAGACAGAGTAGAGAGTAAATGTTTTGTGGCAGACAGAGTAGGGAGTAGATGTTTTGTGGCAGACAAAGTAGAGAGTAGATGTTTTGTGGCAGACAAAGTAGAGAGTAGATGTTTTGTGGTACACAGAGCAGAGAGTAAAAGCCCTGCACAATTCATTTAGTTTCCGTACTCAATTATAAGAGTTAAGTTTAGGTGTCTGTGTAACAATTTTCAAAAGGTCTTGATAATTTAAAATCCTTTTCCTCAGGCTCATAACGTCGTCACACAGTTCAGTAAGCGTGAGTATTATGTTCCAAATACTATATATACTGGTGACTATTTTCAACACTTCCCGAGGAAAGAGTAAGTAGTATTTTTTGGATGTAGTTATCATGTTTCAATCATCTAAACGTGAACCGTGAAAACAATGGGAAAAGTATCATCTTTGCTGAGAGCGCCTGTTTGGAAAATTAAGTCCTACAAAATTAGATTAATACAAAGTGCAATGCGTATGTTATGTTTCCGAATATTAATTAAAACCGACTGCCTAGAACCATCAAGAGGCTTAAGAAATGACGTAGCTTTGGCTTTTAGAAATATTATTATGCTATTGTGTTCTAATTATAAACGTTCTCAACCGAACGACCAGCGTCTCGGTTCTGTTCAGTAGAAAATTATCAACCCAAAAGCTTCGTCAGCAAGATAATTACATGAATTTACTGAAACACGTAATTGATGTTTATGCAAATATAACTCTTCTCTACATAAACTTTTTTTATCTGCACTTTTTAATAAGTAAACTACTTCCACGATATAATGTTGTCGTTAAATTGTTTTCGTTACCTGTACATGGTGGTCCAAAATTATCTTTCCTGTTTTAAAATTTAATAAGAGAACTTGGACTCCAAACGTTAGGCTTACGTTTGTCAGTTCCTGAGGTTAACATTTCTGGGCATTCAAAGAGTCTATTTTTTATATATAATGATTAATTTCATCCTGAACTTAAGTTTCATAGTGCAAAGCTTTCGAGTATTTTTCATAATATTTTTGGATTTTAGATTTCATAGTTTTTATGTTAAATTTCGGTATTTGACCTCCTAGTTTTCAAACACCATTTATAAGAAAGTGAAGTCCTCAACCCAGGATTATCACGTTTAGACAGAAAACTGATTGACGAAACACTCACGACAAAGAAACTGTTCGAGGGATTTCGTAAAAGTCCATCAGTCAGTGTTGTATTAAGCTCAACATCTCTTGCATACCATATTGGGTTACTGATTGGATGATCATTAACGTTAGTTCTGTACGTCTATTTTCTTTCATAGATCCTAAGATTAAACGCACCAGTTAAACCTCATTGATCATCCAATTTAGCTGTTTTGACAAACTAAGGTTGTAACAGCGAAACTTCGAAGTAAGGATTACGCTTCTCATTTTTAACATAAAATGTACGTATGAAAAAACAAAATAAAACAAAAAATATCCATCTATAACCAGGAATATCATCAGACAGACTAAACCAGTCACGTGCTTACGTCATGTTTTAAATCAAAGATTAACTTCAACTCTGCAGTAACATGTCATTCCGCTCGATATAAAATTGATAATATTACTTGTCGTTCCGCTCGATATAAGGTTGATAATATTACTTGTCGTTCCGCTCGATATAAAGTTGATAATATTACTTGTCGTTCCGCTCGATATAAAGTTAATAATATTACTTGTCGTTCTGCTCGATACAAGGTTGATAATATTACTTGTCGTTCCGCTCTATATAAAG